CAGGATCAGGCCTTGGCTGCCACCAACTCCAAACATGCAAATCCTCCCCAGTTCTGACTGCTCTGAAAACAATCCCTTTCCCATCATCTCCCCCTGCATCAAAAGAACATTCTGGTTGGTCAATCAAGGAAACAGATAACAAAAAGCAAAATCTCAACCAATCTTTGTGGCTGAAGAAAGAGCTGATTGTTTTTGCCTCTCCCCAAGCCCGCCCTGTATCCGGCACTTCCCCAGTCCTCTTCACACCTTCTTCCCTTTATTGCCAGGGAAAGAAAATCCTGGTCTTTGGGCTGTTTTGTTTAGCAAATGAGGGACATGCAAAGCAATAACCCCAGGCATCTGTCAGGAGAGAGGTGCCTCTGTGTCTTCCAGACAGCCTTCAGGTGCTGCAGCCAGCACCCCAGATCAAGGGTGGATTTAAGTTTGGACACGGGATGCAACTTTCTCTTCTTAATGAAGACAGAGCCACGGGACACCTGCAGGAAGCAGAGGTGTGTTCTCAGCTAGCACAGCATTACACTGGAGCTTATCCTCAGGTTGTCTTCTCCACAGAGTGGAGAAGACAAACACCTGAAGTTTTCACATTGTGTTGGCAATGGATAGGGAAGGCCTAAAAGCTGGGTATGGGTTGTACTCGGGGGAAAAAAAAAAATATATATTATTTGCCAAGTCCAGTTGCTTCCCGCCTTAGACTTCACGAGAAAATGTTTTCAGTGAACAGAAGATAAGAGCAGAGTTGCTTGTCCTCACAGCAGGTCGTTCCCCCAGGGCCACACAATTGTAGGTGGTAGGGACACCCCAGCAGGTTAGTTCTAACCCATCAGCACAGAACAAGGGGAAACCTGAAGTTTCTAGAGAATCTCCCAGAAAGAGCTGCATAAACATGTTTCCTTGCAAACGTTCCTGCCTGCCTAACTAGGGAACAGATAGGGAGCTTGACCTGCAAAGCTGCTACAGAATAAAAGAAGTACACCACAAGCAATTTTTTATCACTTATTCCGCTCACAAAGCAGAGATGTTTTCCCACTTTTGCCCTGGAATAGCATGTGCACACAGAGGAGACAACCCAGAACAGCCACACCAAAATTATTCAAGGATAGTTAAATCAGTCGGTTGCCTCTGTGCTGGATGAGACCTAAGAAAATGCAGATCCCTGCAGAGTTCCTGACCCACCACCTTTCAGCTAACAGTCACCATGGACACACACTGATCTTAAGGCTGCAACCCTGAACTGAGACTTGAGATCTGCCCTAGGTTTCCTGCATGACCTCGGGCAAGACATGAGCGCTGGATTTCTGAAGTTCAGCGCACTACGAAGCTCACAGAAAGCTTCACCCCATCTGCGAGAGGAGGATAATAATTCCCTCTCTCCCCTTCATTTCACTTGTTTATTTCAACAGTAAGATAGTCAGGAACGGGACTGCCCCTCCTTATCTTCTCCATACAGCACCACGCACAATGGAGTCTTGATCTCAGCTGGAACGCCTAAGTGCTACTGCGATACTAATAACGAGTGATAGAAACTTAATTCAGCAAAGCAGCCTAATTCTCTAACTGGCTTAGAAAGAAATCCTCCAACCATGCACAGCGAGATCCCTATGTTTAAACCACTAAACTGCCAACTGAGTGGAGAAACAGGGTGAGCAGAAACACAGAGAGGATACACCAGATAGGAGCAGCATTTCCACTGGTGAATAAAATTCCAGGGTGAGAGACAGAGCTGGATATGGACGCTACAAACATCCCACTTGACACCCTCGTTTTAAAGGTGTTGCTTTGATACAAGCATTTTGCAATCTGGTCCTTGGGCTGATTTTGACCTGTTGGCCCAAGGGTGATCTGCGATCACCACACCAGGCGGCAAGGCGGGTAGAGAGCACAGAGTCCCCAGGAATGGGGAAATCTGAGGCTGGGGAGGAGCTGAGCGCGCACTGGGCTCAGCTTTGGTCTGATAAGTTTATCAAGCACTGCCGGCTGCTAACTGTCAGCCGGTGAAGCGAGCCTGTTAGGGAGGAGGAACAGCTCCCAGAGCAAGATAGGACAGCCCATGCCTTATCGGAGTGCCTGAGCCAAAGAGGGAACTGGAGAGTGAGCACTTTCCAACCACTTCATCTGAACAACAGACAGATTGGCAGGAAAGGCCTGTCAGCCCTTCGCTCTGCTGCCCAGGCATCAACAGGGAGCCCCCATCCATGCAAACCACCCTGGTAAGTGCGGCATGAGAGATGCAAATGTGAACACAGGGGCCTGAGGGAAGGCACGGGGCAGGTTTTCTTCAGAACATTGCCCAGCAGGGAGTCAGATTTACAGCAAGCCATTCAGACACTCACGGAGTGAGCTGCTCCTGCTCAGCGCCCAGAGCAGCAGCTCTCCCCAGTGCTGCCTTCCCCAGGTTTGGGAGGGGAATCTAGCATTTCAAAATAACACTAGCCACTAAGTTTTGGTGTACAGATAATTGCTTTGTTTTCCCTATAGTGTTTCTGAAAAATAGTAAAAAACCCCTAAGTGAATAGAAGAGGAAAAAACTGACTGTTCTCATCTGAGCTGCAAAAGTATGGGCCGGCAAATACCCCTTGGCACCTAGTACTGGGGCAGCAATAACCAAAGCAATACAGCTGAAGATCATAGCAGACCCTCACATTAGTGTGAGCTCCCCATCTGCATACCTCAGCCACAACAAGGTGGACAATACAAGACTCCTGCATAGCACACCCTCTGCTTGGTTTCCCTGCCGAGGATGTGCCACGCAGGACAGAACCGGTGTAGGATCAGCAGCTTCAACATACTGTGTTTCTTCAGTCTTTCAAACCATGCTGTTATCAGGTCACTGCTCATTTAGACCCTATGGACAGCTGTCATCCTGCATCCCGCCCACCTTTGGGTCTTTGGCTGGGTTCAAGCTGCATATATCAGGGGATTTTACTGAGAGCTGAACCCATTGCAAGCCCTGACCCTGTGCTGGGAGGACGTGTTCACACTTGGGCACAAGAGCTGTCCCAAGTCCTCCACGGGATATGAGGCAGGGAACCTCCTGCAGCAGCAAAGTCAGCCAGGATAGCTCCAATGTGAGGTAGTCACTCAAAGGCTTCCTCTCTGGTAAGTAACATATCTAGGGAGTTATTCAGCTCCTGCTAAAGCACTTATCTAAAATACGACAGAAGTCATGCCTTCAACACACCTACTTCTCTCACTGAGGAGAAAGGGAGACATCTCTAGTATCTGTAGACATCTAGAGTTACATGAGATGAGTCACACCCCTGTGGTTTCTGCACCACTGTCAGGCCAAGTTTCTCACAGCTGTTTCTGCTCCAACCCATAATCTACTCCTCTCCAGACCATGAGCAACCTCTAAGCCGTTTAATTCCTCTGTGCATCAAGGGTTCCTAAGCAAGTTCCAAGTACAACAGCCACATTTAGCACTGGCAACACAACTCTAAAGTTCAGGGCTTCCTCATGAAGAAAGAGTTTAAAAACCCTACCCCATTGATTCTGCCTTCCTCTTGAATAATTTTAAGGCAATGGGACTTTATCTTACATCCCAGGCCCTTCTATATTAGAAGCTTTGGTGGGATTTTTGGCAGTGGTCAAATCCGCTGGTTTCTTCTCTTTATAAAATAGAAGTTATCTCTTGTCTCAGTTGGGGAAGGGGAAGTGAGAGATGATGGAGCATTCCTGTTCTTGAAAGGGCCCCATCCTGAGAGTGTGGACATGGTGAACCAGTGTGTCAGTCAGACATCCCTGCCCCAGCTCCTTATTTAGACCCAGCTTGTAGTAGATTGACTGTAAATCAATCAGGCTCAGTGGACACCACCTAGAAAAGACAGTCCAGGAACCACAGCTACATTTTCTGACATTGGAGCATCATGGAGAATGCTCAATATAAGACTCAAAGAAGGATTGTATTCCTGGTTTTGTCATTGCCAGCTGACCCGAGCCAGTCATTATCCCTCTCTCTGTCTCAGCCTTCCCATCTGCAAAGCAGGGATAACATGGACATGTTCTGAGATCTACAGTTAAGAGCGAGGTAGAGTTGCTACACATGCACAGTCCTCTTAGAGCAGAACAGCACCTATCATTGTAAAAAATCCCATAGAAAATGCATAAAGCTTCAAAGCAAAGTCTCTGCATTGTGACCTGCCAACTTGATATGCATTTTTCACTTTAAAAATATTTGCCCAAATTTGAGTAGGACAACTAGAAATGGAACTTAGGTCACCTGGACTTTCAGTCTTGTTTCTTAACCAACTTTCTATCTTACTTCATTGAAGTATAACTTAAGTAGAACATCCCAAGTTAAAACTGATTTTAGGAAAAGTTTACTATTAGTTACTTACTATTAGTGAGATTTTATTTCTGAGTACTGGAAGATACTAATAAAAATATGCACAAAACTAATTTTCTAGGGCTTTACATTAAGGGCAGAGCTGACAGAAGGAGAAGGTCTTTGGTTTCAGAGTGAATGCATGTGGGACAGCTTAGGTTTGCCATCTTAAAAGGAATTTAAGGAAACTATTAGCTAGAAAGTCAGAGAGCCTTATCTGTGTGCCTGCTGCATAGCGTCACAGCAGTGGTGTTGGAGGACTCAGAAATATAGCATCACAGCAGTGGTGTTGGAGGACTCAGAAATACCAATGACACTTTGCATTTAAATAGCACATTCTGCCTAAAGATTTCAAAACGTTCTACAAAGATGGAAACATCTTATCCCTGTTTAACTGCAAGGAAACCAAGAGCCAGGGAGAGAGAAAGTAATTCAAGGTCATACAGAGAGTGAGTGAAAGACCTAAGAAATATAACAAGGCATTTTAGCTCCCAGCTCTTATTTCAATCATTAGGCAGTGGGCAAAATTCAGACCCGTTGTGATGAAAAGTGCTGCATAAATTGTACCAGTGGAATTTGGCGCATCCTCTCCAAATAAACATGAATGCCTCGGAGCCCTGGCACATCTTTGTTCACACTACCCCTTCCTACTGCACATCTGGAAACAGCCACTACATACCTTCACCTATTTCAGCCCAAATCTCTCTCTTCTTAACCGTGCGTTCCCACTGAAAGGGACACAATGTACAACAGTCGGCAGGATTTAGCCCCTAGTCTGAATGTTCTCTCACAGCATCATTATAAATGTTGCAGGAGATACAACACGAACCTTGTGGTTGTCAGGATCAATAATTTATATTTTTGGTGCACCAGCTCCTCGGCCCCACTTCCTCAATCCCAAAGTCCCCAGCAATCTTAGCTCAGAAGGGAATGTGACTCAGGCCTTCAACTGAAGGGCTGTCATCTGCAAACCCTGAAGGCTGGATGTGGCCAGGGTTTTATCACTGGCCACCAGCTGCCTCTAGAGCTCTTGCCTCCTCCCCGATGATTCAGCAAATCTTCTTCGGGGAGAAAAACAAGCACACAAGTGAACAAATCACAATGTCAGATTACAAAGATGAGCGGGGAAAAACTGCGGCTCAAAGGAGGGAGATAAGAGCTGGTGAAATCGCACGATCCAAGGACCAAAAGGCCTGGCAAAGGCTTGGTTTTGAAGGAGGGGCAATAATAATGTAAAAAAAATAAGGCTGTAATTTAGAGTCATTACTCCTAACAGTAAAAGGGAACACAACATGGAAGGAAATGAAGCTTATTCTGCCCTCCAGTATCTGGGTATTGCACAGGGCTGCAAGGGGGTTTTCACAGGTGGAGCTGGGCACTGAATAGTCCATTCTAGTTTACACTGGAACAAAGTTCCACCAAACAAACTACTTCTAGAAGGAGTTTCTGCTCTCCATAACCAACATTTTCAACTGTTTGGAAGTCCATTATCAGGCACCTTGAACATCACTGTTCCAAAAGAAGGCTCTGTGTCATTTGGTATCTAAGGCATAGCAGAGAGCAGTTAGAGATAATGTTTTAACCTGTATGGTTTTGGCCACTATATCACATTTATGTATTATAGACCTTTTTCATAAATATTTTGTTTCCTGCTGTAACTATTCCTGAGGTGGAACACAGTATGAGCTTAGCAGCTCATGGTACACAGCCTATAGAACAGAGAGTAACAAAGAAACTTCAGCCAGACCTTAACTAGGAGATGTAGTATTTCCCCTAATGGCATTGAGCCCAGACACCCCAGTTGGAGCCCAGTCTTGCAAGAACACCATGAAATCCTAGTGGAAATAAGAGTGTTTGCAATTCATTGAGAGCTCATGCCATGTTTGTGGAGTCTCTCAGCCCAGTGGGTCTCTGATATCCATGTGACAGATACAGCCTTCCACTAGATTAAAAGCAACACAAAAAGTAGGCACAAAAGGAAGAGGAGCCCAGGAACTGTGTATTGTGGATGGATAAAGTGAAACTGACCTTGGTCTCATATCACTTTTATGCTCTTCCTGATTTACCTCATTAACCAGCACAGAGAACAACATTTTGACGCTAAAGGACAGCTAAACAGGACTCACTTACCTTACTATAGGTTTGTATATTCTCTCTGAATATTTATGTTTTCACCCCACCACCAACTCAGAGCTCACAAAACCTCCTTACCCCCTCTTCAAGGGAGTAGGATTCTGGTGTATGTACTTACAGCGCCCACTGCTCCTCCCTAGGAAACACGACAGAAGCAACCACAGCACAAGCCAGAAAAACCTCCTCTTAAGCTCACTCGGGGAGTTAATCCAAGCTAAACCATGTGTGAGCAATTCCAGGCCTGCCTCCTTTTAAAGCCTTCCCCGGTGTGGAGCTGCCACCTGCTCTCACAGGTTTGGGGGTTTCTCTCATCTAACAATAATCAGGTGTGCTCTTAGAGCTTGAGTGGCAGAGCCAAGGGAATGACAGTTTTCAAGAAGAAAATGTGGTACTACTGCACCCTACAGGCTGAAAACAGCGAATATATAATTCTTTTATTATTTTTTTTAATCACAGTTTCTAAGTCAGGCTCATGGCTTTGGGGAGGGAGGCTGGCTCCTGGCTCTCTGGTATATGGGGCTGGGGGCTCTGCCTCTCCCCATCCCCAAACTCTCACAGAATGAACACACACGTTGCCCACCCTGTGGGACAGGGGAACAGCAGCGGCTGTAACACCAACTAAGCAACAGGCACGCTCCCAAAAACACCAAACCTCCTGACTGAGGGACTCCATGGTGGTGGGGGGCTGTCTATGGGGCTCAGTGGTGCTGGGGGTGTCCAGCAAACCCCGGTGGTTGTGTGCAGGGCACCCACAGGAAAGGGGGAGCTCAGGTACTGGGGAGAAGTTGGTTGGTGGGACGGAGATGGGATAGAGACCTTCACCTGTTTTAGCTGCTGCCCTGTTCTGTTTTATCCCTCCGGATTTGGCACAACAGAGGCAGGCAGCTTGAGAGACTGCCAGGCAGCAGAAACCTCAGCAAAAGTCTGTTTAAGGACTTCCCAGGGGAAGGGACCTGGTGAATTTGACTGCTCCCTGAACTCTACATGCAGCGTGGGGTGCAGCGAGCCCCACTCTCTGCCTGCTTCCCGTGGGCTGGAGTGTGCAGGAGTCAATGCCATATGTTCCTGTGACCGCGCTCACTGGACCTGTTCCCTCCTGGCCCACAGCTGCTTTTCCCAGAAAAACAGTCTGTGAGATCTCCCACAAGAAACATCTTTCATTTTCTCACTGTAGTCCTTCATCGGCATTTAAAAAGAGAACAAATTATCTAAACTGCATTTCCGTCCTGCCTTGTCCCTGGACCTCACGGAGCTGCAGTAACTACAGTAGAGCAAATGCAGAGGGTGAAGCCTTCAGTGCTGGAAATGCATTTCATACGATGAAAAAACTTGTGGGTTTTCTGCCAGGTAGTGTAGGGGACCTCCCTCATTCTGCAACTGGATGTAGCTTTGCAGGTTTATTTTTTAAACTTAAATTTTCTTTCCTCAATAGTTTCACAAGAGCCTTTTGTTGTTCTAGCATGTGATTCCAAAATCCATAGGGAGGTGCGGCCAAAGACAAACCAACCCATTGCTCACATGGCTGAGTCCCTTCTGAAATGTGGGGCACAGCCCCACATGCATATTCCCATGAAGGCCCCAAATCCGTGTGTGCCACAGGCAGAAAGCAAACCCGATCCTTTCCCTCTCTCTTAGGGAGGGATACAACAACCCCCAGGTGTCTGGTGAGAACCTGATTGGCCTCAGCAGGGCCCGTCGCCCGCACAACGCTATCTTTGTGAACTTTGATGATGAAGAAATCCCAACTAAACCCCTGGATGCTGCTGTACAGACCTGGAAGAAAGTGTGCACCAACCCTGTGGATAAAAAGGTGGAGGAAGAGCTGAGAAAAGTACGTGTCTTAGTCCTGAGCTGGGCTGAGCACTACACTGTGGCATGTAGACCTCACTGAGAATTGTTGTGGTTGTAACTACTCTTGGCTTCTCTGAAGGTTTTATGTTTGTGTTTCCTGTTTAACCTTGTTAACGAGTGAGATACGGGCCTGTGTAATTACGCCAGAGACCTTAATGCAGGCCTTTGGGTTCTACTCCAGTTGGATATCAGCTGTCCTTTGCCCTTAGCAAAACACACATTTGCTTTTTCTGTTCTCTCATCTATCAAATAAGAAGGGCATATCCTGCCAGAGATAAAGGAATTTTTGGTGTCCTGAACAGCTGCAGCTCCCCTTGAAATGATGGATGGGATAAAAATTTGTCAAGGCATGACGATGTCACGTCAGGAAAGTGAGTAAGTGGCACGTATCTGAAATGCCACTGAGGGCTGTGAAGTTTTCTTCCTTAGAGTTGTCCGTGTTCTGAAAACGAATTTTGCAGTGTGCCTTCTGCAGTGCTCTCCAGCCCTTTTGGAGAGCAGACTGGCTGCTGGGTGGACATCGTCTCTTTTTCTGAGGATAATGATGGGCAAATCCAAAGCCTGACTGATATAACAAGTCTCAGTGGACACTGCTGAGACCACTGTATTCAGTTCCATGATTGTTTCTGTATTATTTTAGCTCTTTGAAGTCCACCCTGTCTGGTCTCAGAATGCAGTAAAAGCCAGAATCAGTGTCCACCCGGACAAGCTGAAACTTCTTGTGCTGCATTTGGCCTATTACATGGTGAGCCTGTACATCTGCCCTTGTGTAGATGTCTGGGGCTGCTTGAGGCAGAGCAAGGGGGCATCACCTGGGTGTTCCTGGCTCTTTACATCTTGTGTAGGACGCTAGGTCTCAGACTTTGAGACAGAAGATTCCCCTGCTATGATTTTGCAGAGGGTAAGGTGAGGGAAAGGACTGTCTGAGGTCATCTAGTAAGTCCATGACAGAGCTGGCACCCAGTCATTAACATCAGATCACATCTCCACTCATTAGTCTGCCATTGTTGGCTGTATTGTTACCACCCCATCACAGAGATTAAGGATCTGCTGGCATTTGCTAAGTCTTGTGTATTCCCAGTGTGTTACGAGTACAAGGTTTCTCTTTAGTGGCCAACTATATGCTCTAATGCATGGTCTAATATGATTTCAGCCTCCTACACTTGTGTGAGGCTTCTCAAGGCTTCAGCATTTTTTTATGTTCTCTAGAGTTTTGTCAGAGTGAGATATTTCCTTAAGTTTGGCCTCCAGCCCACAAAGGCAGCATCTGCAGGGCTCTCACACAGTGACCCAAGTCTACCTCAGCCATGGTTTGGCCTCAGCCTACTGAAGGACAAGCGTGTAGAGGCTCCCCTGGTTTACTTTAGAGCCAGGTCTGGGTCATGGCATTGACACACAGCTGCACCCATAGCTATATATATGTGAGTCTCCACCTGGGGAGTATCTCCTGAGGTGTTCGGTCACCATGGCTCGCTGGGAGGTCCTGTGCTTTGCCTTGTGCTGCTACCTCGGGGTAGCACGGGCTGCAACCGTAAGTACAAAAGCCCTTCTTATGGATTTGCAAGACATGTTGCCTGTTCCTGCCTAAATAAGTAAACTCCTGCTACGTCTGGTCTGAAGCCCACAAAAGAGGGCCTGTAGACCATGACAGTCAAGGCAGGGTGTTTTCCTGCCCTAAACATGGCAAAGTCTCTCATAAACATTTTTTCCAAGAGTTCCTGCACAATTTTGTGTCAGGTCTGGCCTGGTTTACATCTTGAGACTGAAGGTCTTCACCTTCTGCCATTTGTCTTTGGGAGGGCAGGGGAATTGCTGCTGCTTGTCTGCTCCAAAGGGCAGCCTGCAGGACATCTGCATGGGCACATCTCCAGTGGCAGCTCCATGTGGGCTTTCCACAAGGGTGAAAGGAATGGCTGGGGAAGGCGGGCTGTGAGTGGGTCCATCTGGGGGGACTGGGCACGGCAAAGTGTGTGTGCTAGCAACAGGGGAAGCCAAAGGCACGAAGAACTGTGCAATGGATTTTCTCTTCTCAATTGTACCACATGTAGCTGGGTGTGGTGTACACCGAGGGCGGTTTTGTGGAAGGCGAGAGTAAAAAACTGGGACTCTTTGGAGATTACATTGACATCTTCAGAGGGATCCCCTTTGCTGCCCCTTCAAAGACTCTGGAAGACCCCCAACCTCATCCTGGCTGGGAGGGTAAGATCCAACTTTTGAATGCTTTTGGTTTGGGGTTTTATTTTCACTTCTTTCTCTCTTTTCTGTTCTTGACAAGCCAAAGATGTTACCTGCTTTCATCTACTAAGTAGCACCAACAAAAAGTTCGTAGTCTCATGGTGGGTATGGGAGTCTGTGTCTATGTGTTCCCAAGCAAACACATGAAGTAACAAAACCAAAGCATGGCACCTGCATCTCCCCTCCCCATGCCTCAGCTGTCCAGAGCTAGTTCTCATGTGAAAGGGTCCCTCTGTCACTCCTTCAGACTGGTCACAGTGGCTGGGGAAACTTTGCTGCTTCTGCATCGGACTCACAGAGGAGAGAATGGGTGGACAGACAGCTTGCAACTAAAGGATGGAGTTGATACCTCTAACTAGGACCTGCTGTCTTCTCTCTCTCCTCTCAGGAACACTGCAGGCAAAAAAATTCAAACCCCGCTGCATGCAGATGACACTCACACAAACTGATGTCCGCGGGAGCGAGGACTGTCTCTATCTGAACATCTGGATCCCTCAAGGAAAGAGACAGGGTATGTGCTTGGCAAAGACCTGAGGAGGAGGTCCTCAGTTGCCTTTTGTGGACAAATTGCTCTGGAGCATTTCTTGGCAACTATGTTCCCATAGCGGGCAACTGCAGGAGCACTGATTTTCAGAGAGAAGGGTAGGCACCATGTCAACCAGTGTCCCTCAGCTGCAGCCTGCTGGGAGTTTCAGCCTCTTCTACAGAGTGTGGACTTTCTTGGCCATAGGCTATTGCAAAGCATTGTGTCTGTTCATGCCCATATGGAGTGATGCTCAGCGAGTGGGTATGGGGATGGATGGGTAGTGCCTTCTAGCTATGTTGTGGCTTACACTGCTTTTTTTCCTCATCACCCAGTCTCCACCAACTTGCCAGTGATGGTCTGGATCTATGGCGGCGCCTTCCTTGTAGGAGGGGGCCAGGGAGCCAACTTCCTTGATAACTACCTCTATGATGGTGAGGAGATCGCCGTGCGGGGCAACGTGATTGTAGTGACCCTCAACTATCGTCTGGGGCCCCTCGGCTTCCTGAGCACTGGAGACGAAAACTTGCCAGGTACTGTAGCTGCTCCCTTTTCAGGGGACCCCATATTGGGTCCCCAGTTTATCAGTTTTGCTGTGCCCTTGCTCAATGGTGGGTGTTCTCTGTTGCCCAGGGAACTATGGGCTGAAGGACCAGCACATGGCTATTGCCTGGGTGAAGAGGAATATCAAGGCTTTTGGAGGTGACCCAGAAAATATCACCATCTTTGGCGAATCAGCTGGTGCCGCCAGTGTCTCCCTGCAGGTGTGTTGTCCTTGTTGAACCCCACCAGAGCCACTTCTCTTCTATGTAAATGGAAAAGATGGTCCCCTGGGCACTCCATTGCTTTCCTCTGCACATGCTGCCCAATTAACATCCTCTCCTGCCTGGGGACAGCAATGCTCAGCTTCTTTGCTTCAAAGCCACTCCTCCTTCCTCAGTTTAATCAGTCTCATCACTGCAGGCATGTGTCCTCGCTTTTGGGACCTCTGGTGAAATAGCATTTACTTGCCGTGTCCCTCTACTCTGCTCCTTTTCTCATCATACCACCTTTTAACTTTAACTGCTGAGACTGTCAAATAGCAGGAGAGCTGGTGGCTTCCCTGGCCCTACTGCAGAAGCTGTGAGGCGATCGGCCGGGTCTGGCAGGCAATGGGCTCTTCAGGAGTTTGTACCCAAAACCCTCTTGTTTCTATTTTGCCCCACAGACGTTGAGCCCAAAGAACAAGGGCCTGTTCAAGAGAGCCATCAGCCAGAGCGGCGTCGGTCTCTGCAGCTGGGCCGTGCAGAGGGACCCACTCGCCTGGGCTAAAAAGGTAACGTGTAAATCTTGCTTAAGGGAACAGAAAACAAAAAAAAAGGATTCCCTACAGAAGGGCATAACTAGCAAGGGGTTCAGCAGAAGCCATGCTGCCAAACACAGAGCTTTGGAAACAGGCTGCTGTGAGATAAAACCAGCCTCTGCCTCTGTGGGGCTGGTAATGAAGCCTGGCTTCAGAGGGTAATGCTGGGAGGTTTCTCTCTCACCTCCTGCAGCTTGGACAAAAGCTGGGCTGCCACACTGACAACACCACCGCCTTGGCCAACTGCCTGCGCTCCGCCGACCCCAAAGCTCTGACACTGGCCTACCACCTGCAGCTGACCAATCTGCCCGGTAAGTTCCCTGGCCCACGCTGTGGTCCCCTACACACCTAGGGCTCACCATGCCTTCAATGGAAGGGTTGGGGTGATGGCCAGGAATGTTGAAGACGTGCTTGTGCCCTTCAGAAAGGGGACAATAATGACAGATCTTGCAGTTGTCCTTCCGCAGGCAGGTGCACATTGTGCTGATGAATGCTGTTCATCGTGCAATAGCAGTGGTGGCAGAGGAGTTTAGCCAAGAGCCATGCTTTGGCTCCAAAACAGCTGTTTGGGCTTTTTCTTGTGTGAAAGCAGCAAGAGCAATTCCAGAACACAGCTTACAAACACAAAGAATTGACCACAACCCTGCTATTTTCATTTGAGTCACTGGGTGGAGTGTAGGACTCTCACAGCAGGTAGGGAATGCTTCTGCTTTTGCTGCCTGTGAGAATTTCTTTCCCAAGAAGACTCTCCTCTGCTTGCTCTGCTCATGCTCCTAGTAAATAGCCCCAGTGTTTAGCCTTGCTCAGGACAGAGAGTGGCCAACAACTGCTGTGCAGCTGCACTGGCCTGAGCTGGCTGTCCTGGCAATGAGTGAGCGCAGCCAGATGAGGTGGGCAGGGAAAGTTCTGCTCTGTCATGTCTTTGGGGGGGCTTTTTGGGAATGGTCCAGGGAAAGGAGGAGAGGAATTGCTGTTACCTGCTGGTACTCGGCTGGCAGATCTCTAGTTCCTCTCCCCCACCTACAGGCATGAGGTTTACCAAACGTGATCCTGTGGCTGTGCTGAAGTCACTGCCCAAGCTCTCATTCACCTCAGCTGATTCCTTTCACAGTTCCTCAAGCCATAGGATATGCCAGGCCACACATCTGTCTTTTCTCATCTCCTAATGGACTCTGGTTTTGTCTCCTGCTGCAGCTCCACTGGTTCACACACTGGCCCTCTCTCCTGTGGTCGATGGAGACTTCCTTCCAGACATGCCAGAGAACCTCTTTGCCAATGCTGCTGAGATTGACTACATTGCTGGGGTCAATGACATGGATGGACACTTCTTTGCTGGCATTGATTTACCCGCTATCAACCGCCCATTTGCGAAAGTCACTCCGTAAGTGAAGGGGGCTCTTAAACATCCTTTAACAGGAGGAACCTTATTTTTAATGTAGCCTCCAAACTCCAAGGACTTTGTCCCAAGTGGACAGGGCACTACCTTCAAAACAGGATGTCACTCGAAGCCAGGGTGCCTAGGGCATATGTTGGCAAGTCCAAAGCCTTCAAGAGAAAGGACCAGCTAGTGGGGAAGCCTCCCCATATATATTTAAGGTGCTCCTGAACTCAGCACCAGTGATAGGCTTGGCAGCCCTCATGCTCTCTGTCCAGAGCAGGTAGACACCAGACATGCTGGGTGCCCATCCCGTAAGACTCCTCTTCACAGACAGGAGGAGCTTGTGGTCAATTTGGCCACAAGCTATTCCACTGATAAAGCTGAGAACCACATGCCCTCCATCTAAAGTAGGAATGAAATCACTGGCTTTTATACCACAAACCATTGCTGATCACAGGGTTGGATGTAAACATCAACAGGAGCTGAGCTCCATTTCCATGAGGCCAGCCTCACTTGAAGCTGCTGGTCTCTAATTAGGTGATATTACTTGTCTTTTCAGGGAGGAGTTCTATAACTTGGTCAAAGGACTTACTGTGGACAGAGGCGAGCGTGGAGCCAACGTGACATACAGTATCTACACGCAAACATGGGGCGACAGCCCGAGCCAGGAGCTCATAAAGAAGACAGTGGTGGGCCTGATTACTGACTACATTTTCCTGGTTCCCACACAGTGGGCACTGAATCTGCACCTGCAGAATGCCCGGTGAGGAGCTCAGCCCTGGCAGGAGCCCAAAGCCCACCTGGAGGCCAAAATGCTGCTTTTCCAATACATGGGGCTGAGGAATGGGTTAAGAGGGATGAACGTGAAGGAGGCAAGCGTTTTGGTACTGAGTACACACACATGGCTCACACAAACACTGTTTCTCTAATGCTGCAAAGGGAGTCACAGTAGGAATTTGTTTAAAATTTCCATTAAAATAAGTGTTTGCTTCCTAAAAACTTCAGACTTCGTCCTAGAGATGTTTGATGCCACAAGATATGGCAGTTGGATGATATGAGGGTTTGGGTGAGAATCAGAAATGGAAGTTAAAAATTGCCAGACAGAAGGATGTTTTCTTGTGAGATCACCCATTAGATGTATGTGAGCATCTTCCAAGCCGTATCTCTGCCGGTATTGGGAGCATGGTTATGAATCTGCACCCCTTTCTCTGCTCTCCACTCGCAGCTGCTTAGCAAGTCTATTTTATTTCCCCAGGAATGCCAAGACATACAGCTACGTGTTCTCCCAGCCATCCCGAATGCCCGTCTACCCAAGCTGGGTAGGGGCAGACCACGCTGATGACCTGCAGTACGTGTTTGGGAAACCCTTTGCCACTCCCCTGGGCTATCTGCCCAAGCACAGGACTGTCTCAAGTGCCATGATTGCTTACTGGACCAACTTTGCCAGGACAGGGTGAGTGATTCCAGTTCCATATTTTGGGCTTGCTGCAGCACTTCAACCTGCTGCTTTTGCCTATTAACTTCTCAGCAGCAATTTCCAAAAGCAGGATGTTCTCTGTCTGTACTTCTGCTGCAAGCCTGGCTCTGTGCCTCCCAGTGGTGGAGTTTGCTCTGGGTCCTCCTCATCCAGGGAACACCTGGGGACAGCAGAAGTATTTCCAGAACTTGTGAACTCTGCTTAAACTTAATTATGATGTTTGTTTCCCAGTCCTGGTGTTCAGACAGGAGTTAAGCCCCTGTCTGCAGCTAAAGGATGATGCTGGTGGGGACCAAGGGAGGAGACTGCAGGTCAGCAAGTCACTCCTAGCAGGCAGAATTGCTATTGCTTGTTCCAACATTAGACTCTCTCTTTGCACTCACTTAAAGCTTCACCACTTAAAGCAGATGAGGTCCCTGCCAAACTGCTTGAACCTTGCTGCATCCATAAGCTGCCCTGGTAAAACCGAACTTCTATTTCTCGTTTTCCCCCAGTGATCCCAACAAAGGGAATTCAAAGGTACCTGTTAACTGGCCGCCCTACACCAATGAGGCCACTTACTACCTGGAAATCAACAACAAGTTGAGCGAGAACTCTGTGAAGCAGAATCTGAAAACCCGGTATGTGACCTTCTGGAACACAGTCTATCGGAGTCTGCCACAGGTTGCCAACATCTCCGTGGCTGATGACTTGCCATGGAGCTATGAAGAAAACACCTTTTAAAGATTGGCCCAATTCATTAAAGGCTTGCTTGTAACTGAGCGATTCTGGCTTCTCCATGTCTTTGCCATGACAGGATTTTGTCCCTAACATTAAGTTTGGGCAGCAGGTGACATCCAGTCCCTGAGCAAAGCGTGTTCCCCTGGCCCGTAGCACAGCCATGTCCCAGGGAAGCTGATGACACAGGGAGCCATGGCTTGGCACACTCTGTTAGTCCTTTGGCTCAGGGTTTGTTTTTCCTCCTTGCCTGTGTGATCCCCAGCAGGACAGGCCCAATCCTGACCTGTCCTCTAGACATCTCTGCGCTACCTACACATGATCATAGAATGGTTTGGGTTGGAAGGGACCTTAAATATCATTAGTTTCAACCAACTGGTGAACTGTTGCCGTACAGTTTCACCTCAGAAATGCAACGAGGGGAAAATAAACGCAAGGGAGGGCGGTTTATTCCGTGAGGGTTTATGGGCACAGGTCCCTGGTTGGCAGAGGCCGGGCTGGGCCGGGGAGTTCCAGCTCCGAGCCCGGGCTGGAAGAGGAGCAGGACGGCCCGGCGACCTCCATCTTCTCCACCTTCTCCTTCACCTTCTCCATCTTCTCCTTCCCCTTCTCCTCCTCCTCTACCCCGGCTCCCCCACACCAGGCCCGGCCCGCCCTGACACCGCCGCTATAGGAACCTTTCTGCGGCGGAACCTTTGTGCCGCGGGGTGTGTGTGTGTGGGGGGAAGCTGTCGTGAGGGAGCGGGGCGGGAGAGCGATGGCGGCGGGGAGGCAGTGGGGGGAACGGGGCTCGGCTGTGCTGGAGCTGCCCCGCACGCCGCGGATGGTGTGCGTGGAGTACCCGGGGCTGGTGCGGGACGTCGGGGCCATGCTGCTGACGCTGGGAGGAGAGCAGGGGGTGTCGCGGGTGAGGGGGGTCCCGGGGGCTGAGGGGAAGGCCGGGGTGTGAGGGGAAGGCCGGGGGCTGGTGGATGTTTTCCAGGCAGAGGGGTTGTGGGGCGGGAAGCCCGGCCCTGGGGAGGGGGCTGGAGGCCGTGGGGCAGGGGAAGGGGAGAGAAGGGAAGGAGAGCGGGGCCAGGGAGCCACCCCATTGTGGGACCCCCCTGTCCGGGCTGCAGGGGCCCAGCAGGCCTCACACAGGCCCAAGGTGTGGGTTTGGGGTGACAGCGCTCACCTGGGTGCTGCTGTCCACGGGAGATGGGTGGGAGGTGTCAGGCAGGATGGCAGCAGCTGTGGGTCCCCATCGTGTGCTGGTGGAGCAGGGATTGATGTGGCTGAGGTGGTGTGGGGAGAAACGGCTGGTGCCCATGGTTGAAAGTGTTGGTCCGGCGCCTGGTGTCAAAGGGAGCCCAGGGGAGCAGGGCTGCCCAGGTGTGATGCTAACGGAGGCTGTGCCTGCCCTTGCCACAGATCTATGCGGACCCTGCGAAAAGGCTGGAGCTGTATTTCCGCCCCAAGGACCCTTACTGCCACCCCGTGTGTGCCAATCGCTTCCCCACCTCCACCATGCTGCTCAAGGTGAAGAGGAGGACCAAGAAGAAGAAGCAGCAGTTGGATGGCGAAGAACAAATCCAGCCGGAAGTCCAGTTTGAAATGGAAATTCTTGGGACTGTCACCACCGTTTACAAATTTCAAGGTGATACTTGGATTTGTGTCCACGTGGCTTAACGATGAGTATGTCTGATGGGAAGGGGAAGTGTTTCCCTATAGGAATTTAGGACTGGAAGGACAATCAGGTCTCCTTGCTGTATAAATCACTGCATAAAGTTACCGGATTTCTGCTCAACAACATTTCAACTTCTGTTTCTCACAGGAATGTCTGATTTTCAGTACCTGGCAATGCACTCTGGTCCTGATGGCAAACAAACCTCCATGTATGACAAAGTCCTAATGCTCAAACCAGAGAAGGAAGAATTTTTCAACAGAGAATTACCTCTCTACATCCCACCACCAATTTTCTCACGTCTGGACACTCCTGTTGACTATTTTTATCGGCCAGATATACAACACCGGTTAGTGCCTTTTCTCATAATGTAGTAAATAGCTATGTTGGTTTTGGAATGGACAGGTGATGAAACATTTCGCTGGTTTGATACATACTTCTAACAGAAAAGTCTTTGAGTTAAGATTTCCTTTTTTATCAGTTGAAGGTGCCTTCAGTCCATTCTGACTTCAGTGGTATTACAGAGTCTATGCTCTTGAAGCATCAGAGCAGCACTAAATACATCATTCATGTATTTCACCTGTTTTAGCTGCTGCCCTGTTCTGTTTTATCCCTCTGGATTTGGCACAACAGAGGCAGGCAGCTTGAGAGACTGCCAGGCAGCAGAAACCTCAGCAAAAGTCTGCTTGAGGACTTCCCAGGGGAAGGGACCTGGTGATCTGGGGAAGATGACTGCCCCCCCTGAACTCTACGTGCAGCGTGGGGTGCAGTGAGCCCCACTCTCTGCCTGCTTCCCGTGGGCTGGAGTGTGCAGGAGTCAATGCCATATGTTCCTGTGACCGCGCTCACTGGACCTGTTACCTCCTGGCCCACAGCTGGTTTTCCCAGAAAAACAGTCTGTGAGATCTCCCACAAGAAACATCTTTCATTTTCTCACTGTAGTCCTTCATCAGCATTTAAAAAGAGAACAAATTATCTAAACTGGATTTCTATCTTGCCTTGTCCCTGGACCCCACTGAGCTGCAGTAACTACTGTAGAGTAGTAGCAAATGCAGAGGGTGAAGCCTTCAGTGCTGGAAATGCATTTCATGCAGTATAAAAACCCAAGGGTCTTCTTCACATAGTACAGGAGATGTCTGTCATTGTGCAACTGGATGTAGCTTTGCAGGTTTACTTTTTAAATGTAAGTTTTCTTTCCTCAATGGTGTCACAGGAGTCTTTTATGGTACCAGCATGTGATTCCAAAATCCATAGGGAGGTGCAGCCAAAGACAAACCAACCCATTGCTCACATGGCTGAGTCCCTTCTGAAATGTGGGGCACAGCCTTCCATTTTTGGATATTCCCCTGAAGGCCCCAAATCCGTGTGTGCCACAGGCAGAAAGCAAACCCGATCCTTTCCCTCTCTCTTAGGGAGGGATACAACAACCCCCAGGTGTCTGGTGAGAACCTGATTGGCCTCAGCAGGGCCCGTCGCCCGCACAACGCTATCTTTGTGAACTTTGATGATGAAGAAATCCCAACTAAACCCCTGGATGCTGCTGTACAGACCTGGAAGAAAGTGTGCACCAACCCTGTGGATAAAAAGGTGGAGGAAGAGCTGAGAAAGGTACGTGCCTTAGTCCTTACCATTCTGATAGCTCACACTAAGGGACAAAGGCCCTTAGTACAAAAGAAAGTCCACTTGGAAATCTGAACTGCCATTGGTAGCCCACTTATCACTGTTTCTGTGATTGTTCCTCTGTTATTTTAGCTCTTTGAAGTCCGTCCTGTCTGGTCTCGAAATGCAGTAAAAGCCAATATCAGTGTCCACCCCGACAAGCTGAAACTTCTGTTGCCATATTTGGCCTATTACATGGTGAGTTTTTACGTCTGCCCTTGTGCCTCTCTAGGGCTGCTGGGAGGGAGAACAAGGGAACATCTCCTGGGTGTTCCTGGCTCTTCACGGTTTCTGAGGTCCCGCCACTGAATACCTGAGCTGCATGTTATGTAAAGAGAAAAGTTAAAACCATGGAACTGTTCACTCCATTGGTTCTGTTCCATTTTGCTGTTCAGTCTGACACTCCAGTTGACTCTCCAGCTGGAAATGGTAGCAGAATTTTTCCAAACAAACACTTCATTAATGTGACCTTGCAAGTTAGTTTGTAAAAGCATGCAAATATTTGGCCTTTGATTGCCCAGGTTTCAGTATATATATATCGGTGTGGCAAGTGCAGAAGAAGCTGGTAAAAGAAACAATTTTTGGGCAATGAGAGAAATACAAGAATTTTCTAAGAAACTGTACTGATGTTTTTGTAACCATCTTCCCCGATGTGTGTTTGTGCAGTTAACAGGTCCTTGGAGAAGCTTATGGGTTAGGTTTGGGTATGACCCCAGAAAACACCCAGAAGCAAAGATTTATCAAGTACTGGACTTCCGAATTCGCTGTGGAATGAAATATGGTAAAAGGGCCCAAACCACAGAGACGCTCTCTCTGCTTTCTGGTTAATCCTGGTAGTACTTTTCTTTTTACTTGTTTTTCAAACTCTTCTGCCATATTTGTGCTCTGATGAAGATGACACCTTTGAGTTCATTGCTTACAGTAGTTCTTCTGTAAACTCCTCTAACGCTTTATTTTGTAGTATGCAATATGTCTTTCCTCATTTGGCACATTCCTTACCCAACGGACACCTTGCTGCCTTTCCTTTTCTCTGTGTTCAAAGCCCAAGTGGATGTACCTGACCATTTTCCCTCTCGTTCAGGGGAGGCACTGAGCAGTAGATTCTGAGGTTTACACAGTAGCTTTTCCTCAAAGATCTCAACATCTTGTGCAGGACACTGCGGTCTCAGACTTTGGGACAGAGGATTCCCCTGCTCTGATTTTGCAGAAGGCAAAGTTTGCATAAGTCCATGACAGAGCTGACACCCAGTCATTAAGATCAGATCACAGCTCCCTCTTTCCAGTTTTTGTTGATCTGATAGCTCTCCTCTCCCCACCTTTCTCAGCCCAGCGTATCCCAAAGACCACCCTGCCTTTCACACACCAGTCCAGCACCTCTGTTCTGAGCTAGGGATGTGCTGCAGGGTGCTTGCCCTTGGTTCATCATTGGTTTTCTTTTCTCACCTCTAGGTTATGCCCCTAATGACATGCCCGTGAAAGCGAAACGCAGCACCTATAATTACAGCCTGCCCATCACTGTCAAGAAGCCAGGTACGCCGTGCCAGCAGGAGGGCTGTCTGCCTCTTCTGTTGCTTTGTTTTCTCCATCCTAGTGATAGCTATTGAAGGGTCTTCCTGTGTTCCAGCTGAGCCAAAATTGGACTTTAATTTCTGGTTATAATATGGTGCTGCTGTTAAAGCCAGTAGGAGAGACTCCTGCTGGGAAACGTGAGAGTCCCTGGATGCATGTCTGGCTGAGCTGCAGCATTTATTAGCAGACAGAAGGGAGTTCTGCAAGCAACACTGGTGGAATTCAGCAATCACTTCTGTTCGGTGATGGTGCAGAGAAAGGGGAGAGTTGTTGTCTTTCCTTTGTCAAGGGAGAGCAGAAAAGGTTAAAATTATAAACAAATGCATTGCAGAAAAAGCCACCAAACTCACCACCTTTCCTGTGACTGTCCAGTAACATCTCCGAAGAATGAGCGAGACGTGCTTAGTTGCTGGGTTGGTCAGGATTTTGCTGACCAATAAAGTCAAATTACACAGAGGAGTGAAAGTACAATGCCATGGAGTGAAAGATGTCCCTAATTAGGGACTGTTTTTGTCTTTCAGTGAGCCATACGGTCAGTGTACACGATCTGAAACAAGGGCTTGGTACGTCCGGTGCAGCCGGCACAAAAAAGCCTGCTTCCAGCAGGTATAAACTGAAGGTAAGTGTTACTCTCTTTTACTAGAATCTTGAAATAGCTTAGTAAAAAAGGGGTGTTTCCTGTTTTGTCGGTCATTAAGGGGACAGTTGTGAGTGAGCTGATGTCCTCAGGTTTACCTGGGAAGCTGCTGGTTGTACCTGTCCCTACAGAACTGCACCTGCTGTGCACTGAAGTGCAAAAAAAAATCACCATGTGTTTATCAGGCCATCCTGAAAAATCCAGCAGGGCAAAATAAACATTTAAACAGCAATCTTTTATTATTTCCTTTTTGCTAGAATGAAACCTATGGTCCACTGTTACGCGGTAACAGGCTGCAGTTTGAAGAGATGAAGTGTGTTCTCTGTGGTTCACTATGGCTGCAGGGAAATTTTGCTGCCTTCCTCATTCAGCTTCATCTTTTCCATGTGCAGACCTACGCCTTGGAACCGATTTGTGTTGGAGTTGCCTTGTTCTAGAATCAGCCCATCAGAAGTACTTTTCAGTTATGACAAGAGTTGTCCTGTTACACCATAAAATGCACATTCATCTTTCCCTTCTTTTCTCTTAGGAATCCATCTACATTTTCCAAGAAGGAGCCTTACCCCCTTATCGGCAGATGTTCTACCAGCTCTGTGACTTGAACGTGGAAAGGTATTACACACTGGCAGCTGAGTCTTCCGTTAGAGCCAGATTTCAAAGGAGATTGTTTATATCCAGTCCATTCCCTTCTTTTACCCTGCCCAGAAACCTAAAAGGTGTTTAGCTTCTGCATAAAAATAGAACAGACTTTTCACACATGACCTTCCTTTCCCATATGAAAAATATGTGAATAACCAAATAAGCTATTCCACCTCAGTGAAGTAAGATGGAAGGAAGCCATGGACTCTCTCATTTGAAGCCCACACCTGAAGGCAGAAGGCTAACGCTCCCTTCCCTTCTGCTGCTTTTTAGCCTGCAGAAGATCATCCATCGGAACGACGGCACGGAGTCCGAATGCACAGAGCGGGACGGGTGGTGCCTTCCAAAGACGAGTGACGACCTGCGGGACAGCATGTCACTGATGATAAAGCAGATCATCAGATCCACAAGACCTGGTAAGGACGCTTCTGACTATCAAAGTGTGTCATTGCCCTACTGCCTACTGCTGCAGGGTAGTGCGACCTTCCTGATGGTGTTGAGACGTTGTGGGCTGAGTGGGGATGTTGCAGTCAGCGCTGGGGCAGTAGCATTCCTTGTTTTACCTCCTCCTTTGTGCTACACTTGATGTTGTAGCTTATTGAGCTGAGGCTGTTGTCCTGCAGCATGAACATGGATTGGGATTAGGAATGGCTGGGAGTAAAGGTTTTCTCTTTCATCTTCCCAGTGTCACAGCCTTCAGGTTTTAAATGTCTTTGCACAGCGATAAGACCTTATTCTTACTGATGTATCTGATGGTGGCATTTTACTGTTATTGATGTTATTAATTGAAAAAGGAGTAAATTATTGTTGCGTGATACTGGGCCAAAGCAGCATCCCAGAGAATTAGGGCAGAATCAGCCAGGAGAGGAGACCCTGCACTGCAGATCTGCTGCTGTTCTGCTGGTGTTCCAGGAGCGTGGAAACAGATTGCTTTGGGCTTGATCAAATTCTATTAAGCTGTGCAACGTTAGCTGTGTCCCTCCGGCTTCTGCCTTCCTCTCACATGATTTATGAACTCTTCTGCAAACACCCCCAGGTTGCACTGAGAGAGGCATCACAGTGTATTTTTTCCTTTCTCCCCCATTAAGCTCTTTTTTCAAATACAACAAGCAGTGAAGATGGCAAAGAGCAGCTGGCGTATGAGTCCGGAGAGGATGAGGATGATGAAGAGGAGGAGGAAGAGGAATTCAAGCCTTCTGATGGGAGTGAAAATGAAATGGAGACAGAAATTCTGGACTATGTGTGAACTCGGTGAGCAGTCTGGCTGCTGTTGGACAGAACCATCTCTGCACTTGTTGCCCGAGGGCTGAGGGTTCAGCCACTGTCCCCAGGGGGTGGGGAAGCAGAATTTGCACGAAGACACCGACGATCTCTGCACAGACTGCAGTGCTGGCTGATGGGCATCATTCCTGATGTTGGGGAGCCAGTGCCTACACTTTCATAATTGCTGGCTAATAAGCCCTCGAGCAAACTCCCAAGAAAGGGTCCCAAATCCAATCCAGCAGGTAATACCCCAGAAAAGAGGAGCAGTTGCATTCCCAGATCTCTCCATGTGCAGGAAGTACACCTGGCCCAGGTTGGTGGTCGTATGGAAAATACGGTGCATGCGGCGGCGCTGGGACAGCACTGGGTGCCACTGGAGTCCCTGTGGCAGG